CTAGTCGACGTTGCTTGTGCTGTCTATGGAGTATAGGTGACGTCACTGCGTTCAGATGTCAGCACTCTGGCAACAAAGCCGATGTGTTGACCTCATGAAGGTTTGCCCTGCTGGGGGAAGTGCCCCGAAGCTGGACAAATCGGTAAAGATCAGGAGGTGGCATATGGGTGGACCAGAGGTGGGTGTTGCAGAAGTGATATCCACCACATTAAATTGCGGTGGTGGAATGGAGGGCAAGGTAAGCCATGACAGTTTCCCTTTTAACTGCCTTTAGAAGGCTGCCAGGCATCTCCTATTTCCATAAATGTAGTATTTTCCTTCATAATATAGATACTGCCATCTTCTTTCTCTTTGCAAAATGCGTTCATCTTCCACTCTTTCATTATGTGCTCTCTTGAGTATTCGCAAGTGAATGCCATTTAAAATGCTAATTATGGTGGTTGTACGATTTAGTTAATAAGTGTTAGGTTACCCATTGTAGGTGGAAAGGCATTAAGGGAGATTATGGGAAATCTGTTTTATGCAAGTTAAGGTTTTGATTAGGGATCGACAGATTATCGGTCTGGCCGATACTCTGCATTTTCAGCAATATCTGTATCTGCCCATATACATACCGATATTGCCAATAATGCAGACAGTGGGGGCGAGGGGAGATCAGTGATCGCCCTCCCCAGCCCGCAGACATTCTGATGGCAGCTGGCAGAGGACGGAGGGAAATGACCTTCGGGGGGAGGAGGGGGGCCCTCTTACCTGCAGCTCCGTTGGGTTCTCCTCTTGCAAGCCTTTGATCTGCTTCCCTCCCTACACAAACACTGCCCCTCATACACACACACTTCCCCCATACACACACACGGCACCCCTTACTCCCCACCAGGGAGTGTAATGCGCTATGTACCTGTGGCCGAGGAAGCGGGGAATAAAATGGAAAAAAAAGTATTTTTTTAAATGTAGTACCGTATATACTCGAGTATAAGCCGAGTTTTTCGGCACATTTTTTGTGCTGAAAAACCCCAACTCGGCTTATACTCGAGTCAATCTGTATTATGGCAATTTACATTGCCATAATACAGACTGGGGGTTGGCAGAGCTGTTACTTACCTCTCCTGCAGCTCCTGTCAGCTCTCTCCTCCTCCACGCCGGTCCGTGCAGCACCTCGGTCAGCTCCCAGTGTAAGTCTCGCGAGAGCCGCGGGGTCATAGTGCGGCTCTCGCGAGACTTACAGTGTGAGCTGAGAGAAGAGCTGCACGGACCGGCGCGGAGGAGGAGAGAGCTGACAGGAGCTGCAGGAGAGGTAAGTAACAGCTCTGCCAGCCACTGAACTGCCAATGCCACTGGACCACCAGGGAAGGAGAGCCCCCCTCCCTGCCATGTATCAAGCAGGGAGGGGGGACAACAAATAAATAAATATAATAATATATTAATAATAATAAAAATAATATAACAAAATAATATAACAAAAATAATTAAAATAATATTACATTATTTTTTTTTATAAAAATGCCCACCCCCCACCAAGGCTCTGCAACACAAACACACACTGCATCACACACACCCTGCATTCATACACACACACTGCATTCATACACACACCCTGCATTCATATACACACACCCTGCATTCATATACACACACCCTGCATTCATACACACACACACTGCATTCATACACACACTGCATTCATACACACACACTGCACTCATACACACACCCTGCATTCATACACACACACACTGCACTCATACACACACCCTGCATTCATACACACACTGCATTCATACACACACTGCACACTCATACACACACTGCATTCATACACACACACTGCATTCTTCATATACACACACTGTAAATATTCAATTAATATAATTTTTTTAGGATCTAATTTTATTTAGAAATTTTCCAGTAGCTGCTGCATTTCCCACCCTAGTCTTATACTCGAGTCAATACGTTTTCCCAGTTTTTTGGGGTAAAATTAGGGGCCTCGGCTTATATTCGGGTCGGCTTATACTCGAGTATATACGGTAATTTAGATAAAAATATTATTTATAAATAAAATCCAGATTCCTACCCCACATATTGATAGACACACACACACACACACACTCTCACTGCATTCACTAAATAAATACTGTCACTTCATCCACTACAAACACATATTCTTGAAAATATAAATTCTGACTGGTGTTTATTTTGTGCATTTACCTTAATAATAAAAAATAATAATAATTAACATCTTCAGTTGACAGTAGATTTGTGTAGGTGTTTTTTTTTTTTTTTTTTTTTTTAAACGGTAAATGTAGAGTATCGGTAAGTTATTGGCTATTGGCCTGAAAGTTCACAGATTATCGGTATCTGCTCTAAAAAATCGATATTGGTCGATCCCTAGTTTTGGGGTTTGGTATTTTCCTGAGGATAGTCCAATAATGGCTTCTTACATTTGACATTTGCCCTCCGTTACCTGCAGGATATGTAAGAGTTTGACTTTGCTTGTAATTTCTAATAATTCAACAGCTCTTCTTACTACACTGGTCTAAAAACCATAGGTTGGAGAGTCGATATATAGAACTTTTTTTGCACTTCGCACTTTTTTAATTTATTTATTAAATGACACAGCGTTGATCAGTATCCAGCTCAACCCATCGGCACGTAAAGGATTGGATGCCTTTGCTGAAATGAAGGAAATAAAATATACATTAAGGAACACTTGCACAAATTGTGAATAGCCAGCCCAGAACTCTTGTTTGCCTGCTGGCTGATGCCTGATATGGATGTTGTTACCCCATTAGAGCAAAAAAAAAAATCCAAATATATGGTGGATCAGACTCTGCACATAGATTCCTTGCACTATAACCACTACCCATAGCAGAAGTGGATATATTACTTTGAGTATCCCTGTAATAATGCTAGACATGTGGCCTTTGACCTAAGCCATACTTCTCTTTGGTCTACCAGTATGGGTTCTTTAATTTCAGGTCTTGTTTAAAAAAATAAATAAATAATAATAATTAAAAAAAATCTTGTGAAAATTAAAAACTAACTTAAAAAACAAACATTTTTTGTGGTGTTCAGTGTGTTCGTATCTTTAGACAAACTCGCTATATACTCTGACATTTTAGAATATTGATACGGATCACGAGAGCATTGTAGAACCCATAGTAGACCATATGCAAATCACATTCTACCACGATGGCAACTGCTGGGGAAAATTGGCCTAACTTGGCTTGAGTCAATCCTTTCAATATAATTTCATTCCTGCCAAACCCATTATTTATTTTTGTGCCTGTAGAGCCAGAGTTTTATAGGCAGAGCTACTGAATGCAAGAGCACACGTTTCTTTTAGAGCCCGACAAACTGTCATGCTCTCATAGCTTCTGGGATGGATTATTCTGTGGGACCAGTGAACACTTCTTCTTTCCACGCAGAATCGAATGATATTGTATCAAAACAAGCACCCTGCCTACACAATGATCTGTAACTAGGGTGAATAGATCTCATTATTGCAAACCCATATGTAACTGTATGTAGTCTGTCGGTTAGTACTTATAGACTACATCCGGGCAGTAATGAACAGACCTGTTTGGTAAAACCATAGAGTGATCTTGAGGTTCCTAGTGACCTAGAGTCATATTTAATGTTAAGTCCTTGGAGTTAAAAAATAAATGGTGGAAAAGGCTCAGAAAGGAACCGCAAACTAATCTTGGTTCAAACTCTCTTGCCAGGTTCTATAAACGTTATACATTTATGCTAAAATGTAATCAATACTCACCATTTTTATCTATTGACCATAACGCCATCCAAGAAGTGAACCTTTCATTATTCTTGGTTCGTGAAGTTTACATTTTGGTGGGACCGTCAAAGTGAAGGTTTCATGACTTTTAAACCACTTCTGCTTTATGAAGAAAAATGTGTGTATTCTCTAGATGCAATATAAATATAATATATTCTTTATACGATTAAAAATTCTATTTAAAAGTCAATTCATCCCATGGCAAATTTTATAATTTTATTGTTAAAAAAATAAAAATAAAATGAAAGCCAGCTTTGTTCAGCAGTAGCTGAGTATTTAAGGAAAAAAACATATATTGTCATATTAGAAAAGGGTTCAGTGTTGTGCAGGAAAATAGTTTAAAATTCAGGTGACAATATTCATGTGCGCCATCAGTCATTTTTATTTTTTTTAAATCCCTTTTGATGTTTGCATTGATTTGTTTCCTAAACATATTCCATGTTTTATCTGTTACTCGCATCCCTGACATTTCTAACCATACAGTTTAGACACCTGAATGTTATCCAGAGGAAGTGGTAAACGATGGCTTTCTCAGGTATCTGATTCTCAGAGGGACAAGTTATAGGGTCGATTTTATTTTTTTCAGAAGTAAGGATGTATTTTATTTTTTGCCCTTTTTCTGTATTTATCTCCCTTCCTCTGTTTCCTTTCCCCCAAGGCCTGGCTGTAACTGCCTGCAAATTCTGGATGGCCCTGAGATTGGGTTTTCTGTACATCTTCTCTTGTAATGTAAATTTCTCTCTAATTTTATCAAATAAAACCGCTGTACTAAATCTACAAATACTCTTAACTTCTTTCTGCGTTTTCCATTCTCCGATAATTTCTACTTGATATAAATATTGTTTACGGTATTTCGTTTGATATAAAGTCGGTATCGCTAGCTGGGAATCACAGGAGGCCGGTGAGATACGGACAGTCTGCAATGTAGGGATTATTTAGACAAATTCAGAGTCAATTTGTATAACTTTGGAACAGTGTTAATTTAAAAAAAATTTTTTTGTCTTTTTCTTCATTTGAAATGTCACCTATGGTGAGTCACAACAAGCTTAGGTAGGTTACAGTAGGTGCCTGAAATATAAAAGCTATGTGTGTATCGAGCTCTGAGATTTTATTTCTGAAAAGTAAAAATTTATTTAAAGCATTCTATCCAAAATCTTACTATTCATTGTTTTTTGTTTGTTTGTTTTAAATATATAACCTTTCTAGAAATCCATGGGAATGCATCACTTTATATGTGAATATAATGTTTCATGACTGAGACAAAGCTGTAAGCAAATGGGCAAATGTGACCCGATATGTACCAGTTCCATGAAGTTAAGAATGTATAGAAACCGAATTCTAATGCCGACACTCCAGGGCTACCAGTGAGAGCTGGATAACTATACTTAACCTGTCTCCATGGTGATGAGGGCAGAAAACCTGCATGTCCCACTTTGCTCGATTTTTCCTCCTTTGTGCTGTGCTTCGTATGTATATTGTCATCTTGCACCAATTGGCACTGAAAGTGTTGACGGTTTCCTACAACACTCCATTGCTGAAATTAGTTGATGTGATATTTTATGATCTGATTTTCCACATGCATTTTGTTTGATACCCTGTAAACTGGAGAGACGGCTAAGGGGGTTGAAATGTTGCAATTCTTTCATTCAAAGACTGGCGCTATTGGCGAATTCTACATTGCGAAGTGCTGGGCATGGTTTCATTAACATGGATCTTGTTGGGAAAAAAAATGAAGATTCGGTTAAACTCTGTGGGTTTCTTGCCAAATGTTTGTATTTATTCTCAAACTGGACATTGTAGTGTATTACGCAATTAAAGTGATCTTTGATCGTTACTGTAATATGGAAGCTCTCTGGGGGGGTGGGAGGGGATTTGCATGTCACTTTAATTTTGTTGAAATTAAAGAAAACCCTCACATTTTAAACAGACTTTCTTTAAAGTTTAATGCTATATTATTGTTGCAATAGAATTATCTTAATTGTAACTTGCCAGATCACTCATTCTGCTAAAGCCATTATTACAAAAAATATTGCAAACCTATTTCATTATTTTGCAGGAGATCTATTTTTCCATCGATAAAGAACATTCTCTATGTATTCACGCTGTCATGGTTTCCGAGGCCTCCTTTTACGGCGTCTCCAGTGCTGATGTCTATATATTACAGTCACCGTGTGTTTTGAATGCTTTGGAATTCTAATGCATTGTTTTGTTTACTTTTGACAGTACCTTTTAATTATGTATAAGATGTTTCAATGCCGCTGGGCGCGCTCTCTGCAACAGCCAATTCCTTACTCCTTTCATATTCCTTAAGGCAGCAATATCCCAAGGAAGTTATCACAACATTTCTGCTTAAATGGGGAATGTGTACACCGCGTGTAAAGTGCGAATGAAAAGGGCGAAAACATGTCAAAGGTAGGAGGGCAATGATCCTTTCGTAGCCTCGGGGAGGGGAACACTCTTACAACAATTTAGCAATTATTGGCATTTATTTAAATGGAAGTTTGCAAATTATTTTAATTATTTTTTTTTGTCAATCTGTTTTTATTTAAGGCATTTGAGGTGGGGTACAGAAAAGAGAACAAGGGAAATGTATGAATGTGTTACAGCATTGGGTTAAAACATCAGTAATGTTTCACAGCTCCAGATTAATAATGCCTTTTTTTTTTTTTTTAAACAGCAAAAGTATGTGTTTGAAACTAAGCGAAACCATAGTAGCTAAAGGTTAGCATAAACGTCACGGCCCACATTCAGGCTAGTTCGGTATTCAAAATGATGCGATGCTTGGTTAGTTAAGCTAGTGTCTCTGCAATATGCGAGCATGTTGTACCGTGTTTTTAGACAGTCAGGATATGAGACTAGGCCACTGAGAGATAGTAGTTGGACTCATTACAGTTCTAACGTTGGTACTTGCATACAATGGTGACTGTATAGACAGGCTAGTACATTTTGCTTAAAAATAATGTGGGCTCAATATAGAAGGACCAGCATGCCTTGTGGCGATCATGCAAATCGGTGTCGATTGTAGTAGGCTAGGACCCTGACATGCAGTTCTGTATAACAATATAACTGATATGACAAATGAATATAACACCTTTATAACGTAGGCTGCAGTAAAAGTAACCGTTAAAGGCAGATCATTGTATCATACTTAAGTAGAGCATAAAGAATAGCTTAACGCAACAGCTAAATGATACCAGTAGGCCACGTGGCAAGCATGTCTGGGAGTGGAAGTCCGGCAAGGAGAACCCATGCAGGCCAGTCAGGCCATGTCCTCCAGTGCCCTTGGCAGAGAGTGTTGTAAGTGGGACTGCCAGTCCAAGAGGTTGGTTCAGCCTATACTCCTGCTGGGTAGGGCCACTGCACGGACCGGTAAAGTGTAGGAAAGAGCACAGTCATCTTGGGAAGTCCTCTGGAGTGTGGCATGGTGGGGGTTGATGGCAGCCGTCCTCCAGCCCCAGGTCTTCACAAAGGCCTGCACCTGTATTACACCGACTCAGTTACTCGTAGAGGATGTTAAGCCGCCGCCCAGCGGCGGGCAAGCCTTCGGCGATGTGGTCGGTGTCTCGGAGTTTGACTCCCTGCGGCCTTCAATCTGGGAAGGTATTGTGGACGGCCCATGGTAGGTGGCGGAAGCGTTGGGCGGTTTGTCGTGGCATGTTAGTACCGCGCCCTTGCCGCTGTGGGTGCAGTTTTGGGCCTTTAGGTTTTTGGGGTCGTGCTGAGCTTGGTATTTGCTGGGTCGCGGCCCATCCCTCCCGTTTTCCGCTTTATTCTGGAGTTTTTTACCCCTCCGCCATGCTGGGGCTCGCTTATGGTTCATCAGTACCTCCAGTTTGCATCATAGTTCATGAAAGAGTCCCTCCAACTTGGCCTCATTTTATCCGCTGCTTCGCCGGGCATCCACGTGGCGTCCACTCCTCCCTCGGCCACTCTATTCTGGTGATCGCCTGCACGTGGGTCGCGACCAGCCGGTGGGGGGAACGGGTTTCTGCGTGGTCCTGTCGGCAGGAGAGACTAGGGACGGGAGGTCAGTCATCTCCCCCACTAGGCCGCAACCGTTCCACACTGTTTTTGACCGTCGGCATTCCACATCGGAACACTCCAGCCGTCGTTTGCGGTAGGTGAGTCCATAGTTAGGTTGAGTTGTGTGTGGCAGGAGTCCCAGTAAGTCGCTTGAGTGTAGATTAGGGAGCTCCTGCAGGTTGTTACCGTCCGCCATGCAAGTCAGGCCCCGCCCCCTAATTTTCAGTATTTTGTTCACTCATGATTAACCCTTTCAGGAAAGCGGACATGCAGGCAGGATTTGTGACTTTTAATTTTTTTAATGCATTGTCATGAAGATGTTAAGTTTACATTCTAATTCCCATGTTTGTATAATCGTTGATAGATTTGTGTGATATTTTAAGGGGGTAAATGTAATTCTTCCAAGATTCAAGATGAAGTTAGTATAGCATTAGGAATACAAAACACTCGTGTTTATTCACTGGGTGTTTATTCAATGCAGGAAATAAAATGTGAAAAACCTATTAAACACTCTTTCCAGTGCTGAGGTTGATCTGTGCAGGAGTGACCTACTCCCGCGATGTCACACCGATGGGGTGGGGGAAATGTGAGGAAATCTGTCGTTTCTCAGAGTGAAACCTCATTAGATTCCAGAAAGTGCCTCAATTGGCTAGAAGTGAGACTGCCTGTAGAGGATGTCTTGACCTTACACTGTAAATATTGCAGGGTTAAGGGGACAGGGAAATTGCACCCAGACCTCTCCCATGATATCAAGGGATCGGGTGCCTATAGTGTCCCTTTATTAAACTGTAGGGTAGACATTAAGAAATCTGCATTAGTTATAGCACCGCATCCCACTTTGTGATTTTTTTTTTTTTTGATTTTTTTTTGGTTTTATTTTAAATAGTTTTTATATTCTAGGGAGCAAATCCTAGACTGTAATTTTCTTCCTAGACGATTGGTGCTAAATGATAAAAGCTGTGCACAACAGTAGTAAGCGTAGCATTGTATACTCCTTAAAGCTGATGTCCATTACTTCCCATTGTACTCCGACCTACTCCTGCACCGACGCCTGGTGCTATGAATGTACCTCACATGGCTGAGTGACTCAAGGTCTGATCTCGTTTTTCCCAGATGTCAAAACCTGCTTCTTCCATTTGTGAACGCTAATAGTCTCCCAAGCCATGATGGATACTTATCCAAAAGCTATGAAAGCACCTGAAGCTCAGGATATGTGTAGTATAAGTGGTAAAAGAAGATAAATGTAAAATATTAGAAACCATTATTACACGCTTATGTAACTGCTCAAAATCTGACACTGGATACATGGGGGGAGGTCGGTCAATAATAATATGTGCTATTTTAGAGCAAAGGGCTTAATAAGGAGTAATCACCGTGAACACGAGTAGAATTTTAATTTTTTTTTATAATAAAATTTTCAATATGAAAAAGACCTTGTATGGATACATACAATACTATACGAGGACAATACAGTCAGAAATATAATCATTACTCAGTGAAGTTTCATAGATTTCTAAAAGATTTCAATTCTGACATAAACAAAACCTAATCAAATACAAGAACTGGTAATGGCAGTGCATGGACCAATTTTAAAATAAAGATACATCATAAATAGTGAATTCCCTCAATTATCATATTGTTGAAAAAAAAAAATAAATTCACTATAATTGTCAGTATTCGAGCTGGAACTGCCATATAACATACAAAGTAATCCACATACATGTATAAAAAACATCCTAAATTAGTATTATTTGCTTACAACTTGGTATAAGGGGGTAGTGGGGCGATGCACTGGGGAGATGTGGCGGGTAGGAGTATCAAAGTCAATCCAGATGTGTCTATAAAAGTTTCTAACAATCAAAGCCAGTTAGTTCATTATGAGTAAAAAAATCTATTTTTTTTTGTAATATTTAAACCATCTTGACCAGATTTTATTATACTTTGGGATATTGCTATTATTGAAGAAAAACGCCTTTTCCATAATTCCTTGATTTATTTGAGTTAATATTTTGGTGGCCTGAGGAATAGTTGTGCTCTTCCAATCTCTTGAAAGTCAGATCTTTACTGCCATTAGGATATTTATTATTAGATATTTTACAAATTTCTTAAACCATTAATGTTCATATAAAAAAGATCTTTCTCAGGGGTCAGTATTAATACCTTTAAATATTTATAAAGATGTAATATCAATTCTTTTATCCAGCCTAAATATGTTTCAAGGTCCCAATTTCTCTATTACATCTCCAGCATTGATCTATATAATGAGATTTATATTTACATTATTATGATATTTATAGAGCGCCGTCAAATTCCGCAGCGCTTTACAATGGGTGGACGAACAGACATGTAGTTGTAACCAGACAAGTTGGACACACAGTAACAGAGGGATTGAGGGCCCTTTTCAGTGAGCTTACATGTTAGAGGGAGTGGGTTATAGTGACACAGGAACAGAGGGGTTGAGGGCCCTGCTCAGTGAGTTTACATGTTAGAGGGAGTGAGGGCCCTGCTCAGTGAGGTTACATGTTAGAGGGAGTGGGGTATAGTGACACAATAACAGAGGGATTGAGGGCCCTGCTCAATGAGCTTACATGCTAAAGGGAGTGGGATATAGTGACACCGTAACAGAGGGATTGAGGGCCATGCTCACTGAGTTTACATGTTAGAAGGAGTGGGGTATAGTGACACAGTAACAGAGGGATTGAGGGCCCTGCTCAGTGAGCTTACATGTTAGAGGGAGTGGGGTATAGTGACACAGGAACAGAGGGGTTGAGGGCCCTGCTCAGTGAGTTTACATGTTAGAGGGAGTGGGGTATAGTGACACAAAAAGGTAAGGATAGTATTAGACTAGTGACAGTTGCAGAAGAGGAATCAGTCAGGAGCTATTAACAGTTTAACTGATACTGATTTGCATAGTCTAGAAGGGACTAAAAACCATCTATTTAAGATTTTATACAAATTTTCTAAAATATTTAAGCAGTGTTGATTTTTTTTTTTTAACGTATAGACTCCATCCATAAATGATCAGGATAAATAATATCTAAGTCGTCTTCCCATTTTAAGATGGTATTAATTTTATTTTCTGGAGTAGATTTATTAATAATCTGTCTAATTTTGGAAGTTTTTAAAGATTGCGATCCATAGAGAATCGTATCCAAAAGAGACTGATCTCTTATTTGTATTGTTCTCAGAAAATTTGTGATTCTTAAGTATGTAAATCTCTCATTATTTGGGAGATCATATTTTAGTTAGAGATCAACCTCCATCCTCCACACTTCTCCTCGCCAGTCCAATTTTTATACACACACAATGTTTAAGAAGGGTTACATTAACCCTTTAAATGTCTAAGGTCTAAAGTACTGTAGAAAGTAAAAAGAAGGTGAGGGCTGCGCCAAAGGAAACTGGAAATAACAAATAGTCCAAGAATGTAAGAAAAAATATAAAAATATAAATATGAAAATATAAATATATAAGAAAGTCTTATCTAGAAAAGTCTTGTCGTAATCGTAGAGTCTATGTGGGCTTGATCCAGTGCGATGATACTTGGAATAATCCTCAATAGGAGTCCATAGGTATATGTAAAATAAAAAATAAAATAAAAATAGAGACCCAAATAGTGCAATATGCTAGAACAAAAAGAATAATAAAAAAATAGAAATAAAAACTCACATTTACCAGAGCGTAAAACTCACTCCGGTATAGAAGGCGTTCAGCGGTATGATCCCCGCTTGCAGGATATACGGTGAGTCTCCTCCGTTAGCGATGTATCCAGTACTCAAATAGAAAGAGACAACCAATAGTGTACACTGAGTTAAAATAAAATAAAATAACATAAAAAATGGGTACTCACAAGACAGGAGCAGAACAACTGCTCTTAAACATAGGCGCTGGTGGTATAATCCCCACCTAGGATTGCTTGGAGTCCGGGATGTAGAGAAGATGCCAGGTCACAAAATAAATGAATGTGTATATAAAGATATATGGCACGAATAAAGAGTAACCAAATAAACTTTTAATATATAAAAATACACAGAATAATGTCCATAAACGCGTTTCGCCAACACGGCGTTATCAATATGGAGTAGGAACCTGATCACTGGCATCAAATAGTTTATATAACAACTAAAAACAGTTAAAATTGGCGCCAAAAAATAAGCAGCCAATCACAGTTAAGATAAGAATAAAATAATTAAAACAGACACATAACTGGTGACATATAACAAATATTGTGTATGACATAAAGGGTTATATGGCATAAATATGCATAAAGAACGAGGGTTATATAAATAAAGGACTTATTTACCGATCACGTGATCGGGGAAAAGAGCGTAGTGCATGCTGGGACATGTAGTAAAACGCCGGCGTGCACTGCGCAGCCGCCGGCGTTTTCGTGAGGGAAGGGGGGAGAGGCGGCGTCAGCACGCAGCTCTTGCGGCTGACTGAATAGATGGGGGCGGGGTTATAGTGGACGGCGGCACGCACGAGAACTGCTGCCGCCGTCACTCAAAGGAAACCGGAAGTATAGACGGCGGCTCGCACAATGCTGCAGCCGTCGTCATAGCAACCATAAACAGAAAAAGAGAAACCTCGTCGGCTGGCACAGAGCTGCAGCTGAACAGGGAATAGTAGAAATATAAAAATAACAAGTAAAAAGAAGAAATATTAGTGATATATGAACAATATTGAGTCATAGGATAATAAAAGGTATAATACATTGCACACAGTATAAAGGATAAAAGAAGATGAGAAGTGGGAATAAAAAATATTAATAAAAAATGTTAATACAAATTTAAAGGCATACTTAGTACAACCAAATATAATGTAAGAAATTTATAAAAAAAAAATTATAAAAAATTATAAAAAATTAAACAAATCAAAATCTGTATTGAGACCATGTGGTGTAAGAGTTTGAAGTCTGTACACCCATTCCATTTCATTTTTACCCAAAATATTTTTAATATTACCACCTCTCCAAGGGGTCATGCATTTCTTTATTCCAATGCATTTCAATAACTTAGGATCTTTGTTGTGCATAATAAAATGTTTGGATACTGAATGATTCAGATATCAATTTTTAATATTTCTGCAATGTTCGCTTAGACGCATTTTTAAGCACCTTGTGGTCATTCCAACATATTGGAGGCCACAGGGGCATTCAAGCAGATATATAACATTTTTGGTAGAACAATTAATAAAATCACAGATTTTATAAACCTTATTAGTCCGTCTTGACATAAATTCAACAACTTTGTGAGGGACGGCTGGGTCAGTAGTTCTGCAAACTATGCACGTTTTACATTTATAGTAACCTTTTATATGGGGGAACAAGGTAGGGGGAAGTGTGGTAGTTTTTTCTTTGGTGAAATTATTAGTTAGTATTGATTTGAAATTTTTTGCTCCCCTAAATATTATACTTGGACGCTTTGGTATGATTTTGTTAAGGGTTTCATCTTGTTGTAAGATATGCCAATGTTTTTTTATGATTTTTTTGACTTCATTACTTTTGTTGTTAAAGTTAAAAATAATAGGTAAGGACATAGATTCGTCTTTGTTTTTAGGTTTGTATTGTAAAAGTTCATTTCTGTCACTATCATGAATATCCCTAATGGTATTATCAAGTTCAATTTCTGAATAATTCTTCTCAACAAATTTATCTTTTAATATCTTAGCTTGTATATTAAAGTCACTTAATTCTGAGCAGTTTCTCCGTAGTCGTAATATTTGACTTTTCGGAGCGCTGTCTAACCAGGGCTGGTAGTGACAGCTGCTCTTATCTATGGCGGTATTCACACACACTTTTTTAAAAAACGTTTTGGTGTGTAATTTACCATTTTTAATAAAAATATCAAGATCTAAAAAATTAATTTGTTCCCTGCTGTATTCGTAGGTGAGGATTATACCCCTGTTATTTGTGTTGAGATTAGTAATAAAAGAATTGAGATCATCCTCGGAACCCTCCCAGATAAAAAAGAGGTCATCAATATACCTAAAAAATGAAACTAGGTTTGCTCTCCAGGCATGCTCACTAAAAACAGCTTCAGATTCCCAGTCAGACATAAAAAGATTTGCATAGCTGGGAGCAAACCTAGTACCCATGGCTGTTCCTCTTTTTTGTAGATAAAAAGAATTTAAAAACCAGAAATAATTATTCTTTAAAATAATATTAATGCCTTCTAAGATGAAATCAATTTGTACATCAGGGATTCTACCTTCTCTGGTTAGGGTATCTCTTACAGCTTGACAGCCTATGTCATGGGGAATAATAGTATATAGTGATTGAACGTCACATGTGACTAGTATAAAATTAGATTTCCATGTAAAATCATCTAAAAACTTTAAAAGAGCCATGGAATCTTGAAGATAGGATCTCATGCATTTGACTGAGGGCTGTAAGAGAATATCTATATATTGTGATAAATTACAGAGAAGAGAACCTATACCAGACACTATTGGTCTCCCCGGTGGGGAGGTGTCATTTTTGTGGATCTTAGGAAGAAAGTATATAACAGGGGTCACAGGAAATTTTATGTTTAAAAAATTGAATTCATGTTTGTTTAAAATACCTAGGGTTACACCTTTGTTGAGAAATTGGGTGAGGATAGTTTGTATGTGTTTAATTGGATCTGATGGAAGTTTGTCATACACAGTCGTGTCATTTAGTTGCCTGTGTGCTTCTTCTATATACATTTGACTTGATTGAATGACTATTCCTCCACCTTTATCAGCTGGCTTAATAACAATATTTACATCATCTTGCAATTCCTTTAATGCTAGCTTCTCTATATGCATGAGATTCTGAGGGTCATATTTAGTATTTTTAATCTTTTCTAGATCTTTTATAACCAGTTTTTCAAACATAGTAATAGGAGCAGATTTAAAATAAGCAGGATAAAAAACAGATTTCTCTCTAAGATTTGTGTTAATAATAGAGTTATTTTGAGAGGGTAATGGAGGAGATAGAATAGGATTTTGATTAAAATTGTCCTCATTTTTTTCAATAAAAAATCTTTTAAGAGTTGCTTTCCGAACAAATTTGTTGACATCTATAAAAGCTTCAAATGGTTTAAAAGTATTGGTAGGGGCAAATTTAAGACCTTTGGTTAAAACTGCTAGTTGAGCACTTGTTAAAATTTTCTGTGAAAGATTAAAAATGCCGTTACCATTACTAGTAGGGGGAGCTATTATCTTTCTAGTCTTTCTCGTTTGTTCGCGTCTCCCACTTCTTCTTCCTCTAAATTTAAAATCCTTTTTCTTGATCGTGAGGGATGTGGTGTTTGAGCTAATGCCGTTTGATGTGTTCGGATTTCTAAAATGAGTATTGTACACAGTACTGGAGACCGTATCTTCAGAAGGATATTGATACCTTAGAGAGGGTTCAGAGAAGGGCTACTAAACTGGTTCATGGATTGCGGGATAAAACTTACCAGGAAAGGTTAAAGGATCTTAACATGTATAGCTTGGAGGAAAGACGAGACAGGGGGGATATGATAGAAACATTTAAATATATAAAGGGAAGCAACACAGTAAAGGAGGAGACTATATTTAAAAGAAGAAAAACTACCACAACAAGAGGACATAGTCTTAAATTAGAGGGACAAAGGTTTAAAAATAATATCCGGAAGTATTACTTTACTGAGAGGGTAGTGGATGCATGGAATAGCCTTCCAGCTGAAGTGGTAGAGGTTAACACAGTAAAGGAGTTTAAGCATGCGTGGGATAGGCATAAGGCTATCCTAACTATAAGATAAGACTAGGGACTAATGAAAGTATTTAGAAAATTGGGCAGACTAGATGGGCCGAATGGTTCTTATCTGCCGTCACATTCTATGTTTCTATGACGCTATGTAATATTATTAAGGTTTTGTGTCAAACAAATTAACAAAATCTACCACTAGATGGAGCTTTTGGACCGCATGCTCTATAAAACCATACCCAATACACAGATTTGTCATCCATTTCCACAGTACTCGACATCAGTGGTTTCCAAACCGGTCTTTGTGGTTACGTAACACGGCCCAGGATTTTGGCATTTCCATTTACTGTTCCAATGCTGCAACAACCTGGACTGGTGGTGGGTCAGAGGGATTGGTTTTGGAACCACTGCATTACATAGTACTTCTATTCATATACTAACTTTATTATTAATTCAATACTAATAATGGTATTTTATACAATGCCAACATATTCTGCAGCGCTGTACAATTATATAAAGGGATATTTAGAGGTAAATGTAGCCCTACCCAAACACTGTCCCTGGAACAAGTTCATCTTTAATTTTAATGGTCCTCCAAGGTTTAAACGAAGATTTTGAGTTGTCATTTTATGGGCTAGAATCCCAATTTACAACCAACTGAAGAAGCCCTGCTGTAGGGGCGAAACGCGTTTTGGACTATTAGTCTATTAACTATTTGATATTTATACCTTTTTTTTTTTTTCTCATTATATTAATCATTTGTATGTGTTTGATTTTACCATTCAATAAAGTACTCTTAGGACAGAAAACTCTGTGGTATCCTATGTGTCAAAATTGACAAAGCAGGAGGCGTGGCTGATCGAGCTGCAGGCAAGACGTGTTTGAAGCAGAGGGATACTTAGTGGCTTAGAGGGATGGGGAAACATTTACACTAACTCACCAGGGAGACCAAGCGGCATTTCTCAGAAGCCTGCAGGTAATCGGGAGGGACCCAGAGCGAGCCCAAAGAGCCAAAACCTAAGGCCATCACACGGCTGTTACAAGTCCCCCACTATGACTACACAAGCCTTCGGGGAGACTGCCCGCATGACATTGCAATGCTAGCCCAGACAGGAGAGTTTAAGACCCCTTATGAGCAGAGGACAAGCACATGATACACAGCCTAATAACAGGGAACACTCAGAGGTTATGTATATAGTTAAAATATAGTTACCAATTTACCACAGCGGCACGAGTGGGCATTAGCACCTAGTAAACATATGAAAGAAAGGGCGACCCCAAGTCCAGGGCAGCCTACACGCACACTGGCCCACGGGTGGGCCCCCACAAGAAGCAGCCCCAAATGCTGTACAATAAAGACGTAAACCTACACAGATAGCCTGGACTAAGCAAATGTTGAACCGTTGTCTTTCACATGATATTTCTCTCATAAATTGTTGGTGTGTTTTGTGTGAGAAAACTCAATAAAATACAAATTAAAATAAAAAAATGACAAAGCAACAAATAGAGGATTGGAGTTGGACATCCTTTTAACCCCTTAAGGACACATGATGGAAATATTCTGTCATGATTCCCTTTTATTCCAGAAGTTGTGTCAGTAAGGGTTTAAGTGTCCATCCTCGCTTACCATCTGAGACATATGGTACTATTGGCTCCTTACTTGTGAGTGATACTCTAAACCTTACTGATCCACAAATGACCTGTTCTGGCAATATTGCACTATTTAATACTGCATTCTATTAACATAGCTACACCTTATGTGTGTATATTTTATGTATCTTGTAGAAGTCGTTTCGGGGATACCACTCAAGGTGATTTAGCTTTTCATTTGAATTACTCATAACTGTGCACTTTTTGCTATTTAATTTTGTATATAAAAAAAAAAAAAAATTACCTTTTTATTACTTTACATAAAAAATAAATTAAAAAAAGTCAATAGGTCAACGTTTCAGTATGGTATCCCCATACTTTCTTCAGGACTGACAATCACCAAGCTTACATACCCAAAGGATAAACATGGAACTTACCAGAATCCTCGAGGCAACCGCCTTTATGATCGCGTGGACTGGGGCTGCCACGGGCCACGCCGACAGCAGCACGTAACCACATGGTGTCTCGCTCGACGACGCGGTCGGGGGCCATTGCCAGGGGAACACTGTGTAAACATAAACAACGTTACTATATAAAAACGAGCATAGTCTAATGACTCTTGTAACATAAAACCAAACTCAGGCAGGTAGAATAGACAAGTATGAGCAGGCTGACAATACAAAGTGGCCGTGGCAGAAAGTGTACATTATTATTAATATTATTGGTATTTATATAGCGCCAGCTTTTTCCACAGTGCTTTACAATAAGATAGTTATACATAAAATGACCCAAGTTATGCATCATGATTAACTAACACCCTGACACTAGGGAGGCAAACCAATAGTGGCCTCTACTAGACCCACAAAATCTAAGGCAAAATACTATTTTAAACCCGAACCCCAATCTAATCATCCTCAGCCAGGACATAGAATAAGGGAGGGGAAGAAATGTATTGCACAATTAGAACTCTACATGCAAATGGACAGGGTCATGGAGCTGCAAGTGCCACAGACCTGACCCTTCCAGGACTTGAGAACTAAATCAATCATAAATCCTATCATCCTAAATCAGGAAGACAGCTACAGCAAATGTGCTGTGTAAAGCCAAAGCATCGCTCTCATCACCCTCAGCCAGGGCATAACATTGTTGTAAGAGGGAAAGGTTCCTCAGTAGGAACTTTGCTTGCAAATGGACAGGGTCAGAGAGCTGCAAGTGTTGCAGACCTAACCTTGCCAGAACTAAAGGCAAGCTCAAAAATAAATCCTAACAACCTCAGCCAGGATGTCAAATTTAAAAGAAGGCAGACTGTACTGCTACACCTGTCAAATCAATGGAAACGGGTAAAGAAATCACAAATGCTAAAAACTAACGTCTTATTCTTGTATAATATATGATGGTTTGAGTGACCCAATACTAATCATTCTGATTAGCTAACGCCTATCACCAAAGGTATACGTTTAGGTTTACCCTACCAGCCACAGTCAGAAAACCTAAATGAACCAGAAAACAATATGGTGTCGCTACTTATCCCACAGGGTGGGTCCCTAGTCCAGAACATGCATTCACCAAATAAATATTATATTAAATAACGTAAATCACTGTCCTGAATACAAAAAGGCACCGTCACAGCAAGGCACCATTGAGTTAGCGGGGCAGAAGCCTATCCCAAATTTAAATGTGCAAAAACAGAAATGGGTAAGTCTTGGAAAGTTATAGGGTCAATTATAAAACACCATGAAACCTGTACGTGGGGGGTACTGTGGTACTCGTGAAATATTACTAGGCACACATATGAGTGTTTTATTTATCATCGTGAAAGGGCAGTTTATTTGTGAAAAATGCGAAAAACCAAATAGGAATGCTAATTTTGGCCAGTGTTTGTGACTAAGTGGTTACTAAAAAAGACTGGACATACCCCATTTTGAATACTCTGGGTTTTCAATGTTTGCAAATGGTATGCCATGATGGGGGTACTTTTGATTCCTGTGCTGCCATATGGTCTCAAAGGCAACATAACCAATCTGGCAAATTTTAAGGTGTATAAACAGAAAAAGGGAATGTGCTGTACAGAGGCGTAATTAAAAACCACAGGGCCCCCCATACATCTACCTGCCACCCCATACGTCCCCGCCCCCCACACATCCCCTCCACCCCCATGCAGACAAACAGATACACATGCAGACACACATAGAAACATACACACATACACACAGAGACCCATACAGACACATATAGATACACACACTCACAAACACACACATTCAGACACACACATACATACACTCATAGACACACACACATACACTCACAGACACACAAATTATTCATATTTTTTAAATTTAAAAATGTCCACCCAGCCTCCCTACCTGGATAGCTGGTGTGGATCTGTGGGTCCAGTGGGGCTTCAGTGCGGCGGGCGGCTGTGTTCCCAGCGCAGACGGCGAGGAAACTCTGTTGTTCTTACTCTGCTCCCTCGCACCGTGCGGGCCGTCTACTGATCCCGGGAGCCGGAATATGATGTCATATTCAGTCTCTCGGCATCAGCAAACGGCGTACGAGGGAGCAGATCAGGGAGAACATGGCTCCCTTGCCTCTTGTGTCCCCACACTTTGCTGAACACAAATATGTGTTTCGTATTGTAATAAAAGCTAACCGTATTATGACATTCACAGTTAAAATGTCATGCAGAATTTGAAAAATAAAATTTCTTAATTACGTTTTTTACATTTTATTTATATTAAATTATGTTTAATATATAAATATTTGATATGAAATAAAAGCCCTATTTCTCCTGAACAAAATGAAATATATTAAATGTGAAATAGGTGAATTATGGTTTAACAGACATATAGTCAAATTGCAGACTTTATTTAGATTTAGTTTTTAACAGAACTTGTACAATTGGCTCAGTCCTTAAGGGGTTAAGCATTCAATATCTCCAAACTGTACCTGTCCAGTTTATCCACTAGGGGGCTGAGTGAGTCTGTCTGAGTTTTAACTCTGTAACTGAGGATAAGAAAGCTTATTACAAATATCAGGTTCTCACAATGCTGCGTGTTTAATCTCAGGTATCATGTGTCAAATAATTGTTTTAGTTCGAACGTCTAATTTATGGCAAATTGTTGAACCTGGTTAAACTGGGCTGTTCAGGCTATTTCAAGCAATTCATATAAAGCTGATTATCTTCAGAAGATGGTGAGTGTAATGACCCAGGGCATGATGTGTAACAAAGGTTAACTGTTTATTTTATACAATCCACTCCTGTACACCGTGCTACTATGGAAATGTCTCGGAATCGATGGCAACTAGAATAATGTTTGGAAAAAAAGTATTTCTAATCTATTCATAGCACCCATTGCTGTTTTAGTCATAAAAAACAACAACATTTTCCGCAGTGCTTAACAATATTGTGAAATGGGGAAATTTAACAATAAATGAGACCATTACAAACTGTTAGGAACAATAGGTTGATGAGGACCCGGCTTACAGTCTAGAGGAGTGGAGTATAAAGACACAATAGGAAGGTGGGAAAGTAGCAGAACTGGAGGTGACAGTAGAGTGTGGCGCTTTAGGAGAGAGCAAGAGACAGGTTTGTGAAATAGAAGTCACTTTGGGAGGCCGTAAGCCAAAGGTTTTGAGTTACGTTTTAAATGATTGAAGACTAGGGGAGAGTCTGATGGTGGTAGGCAGGCTTTTCCAAAGGAAAGGAGCCGCCCTCGAAGTCCTGCAAGAACGAGTTGGCCGCAGGGGGGAGAAAAGCAGACAGGTAAAGGTCAGAGGCAGAGCGGAGGAACCAAGAATTTGCACATCTAAGAATTACTGAAGAAATATAACCGGGGCTAGAGTTGTTTAAAGCTTTAAAGGTTAGTTAGTTTTGAATTGACCCCCATAGTGTACAGAACGCCAATGTAAGGATTGACTGAGGAGGGACAGGAGAGAAAAATCAGCCTGGCAGCAGTATTTCTTACAGACTGTAGCAAGGTATTATGGCTTTTGGGGGACCAAAAAGGAGAGAATTACAGTTATCAATGTGAGAAATGACTAGAGCTCCTTAGTAGCGCCTTGCATAAGAAAGGCGTGGGAAATGTTTTCATGGTGGAATCAACTTCTGGAATAAAAGGGAATCATGACATGTCATGTGTCCTTAAAGGGTTAAGGACGTTTACGATAGTAGCATGTTTAAAGGGAGTGGGGACAATGCCAGAAGAAAGAGCAGTGGAAAATATGTGTGATGAACCGGACATCGTCATGGGCTCCTGGAGGAGCCTGCTAGCCATCCTCCTGCCCCAGGATAATGGGCCATGCAAAATACACTAGAAAAAGGCTTGGTTTGTGCAAGTTTGCTTATATTGTTTGGGAACCAAACAGCCGCACAAACCAGAGACCACCCGGGTGCTTGTTAAGCCCAATTTATACTTTGCAGCAATTTCCATTGCAGTGTTCTAAGTGTTCACCTGGGTGGCCGCATTTTGTATGAACGACCACAAGGTGGCGGCCTTCTTGTTCCCGCGAATGCAGGCAGAGGTGTTTGGGCATAAATCTCATGGAGCTAAAATCGAACACAGAAACTCCCGAACACCGCTGGACTTCCATCATCGCCTGCTGTCACATCCTGTTCCTGGCTGAGGATCATTTCTGGCAATGGCTTCTGGAATCCAGTACTCTTTTCACAATTCTTGTTTAGTTTTTCTTGTTTTTTATGGTTTTCTATTCCATGTCTGGTTTTCTTTATGCTGGGTTTTCTGGGTTCATTCCTTTATTCCGTTCCTGGAATTCCCAATCTCCTGGATTCCTTTATATGGTTGTTTTATGTTGCCACACCCGTTCCTTTTCCATGAATCCTTTTGTTTCATTTGGTTCCTGCAGGCAGTTGTTTCAAGTCCTCTGCCCTTTTCTTGCAGGTAAGTGCCTGTTTGGAGGACTTTGACGCAGTGGTGGTGGGCTGCATACATCTTGGCCATTTATGTATGTCTAAATATTCAATGTTTTACATATATAGTACTTAGTTATGTCTCCTCTTGTTTTGGCTTGTATCTCTTGTCTTGTTTTGTTTTGTCTTGTCTTCCCAGTTCATGTACAGTCCTGTCCGGTCCTGCCCTGTTCTTGTTTTCCTCATGTCTTGTGTACATGTTCTGGGTTCTGCTTTCTGTCCTTCTCCGGTTCTGGGCTCTCCTAGTTTTGTCTTGTTTTCTTGTTTGGTGTCTATTCTAGTCTTACCTTGTTTCTGTACTGGATACATATCTGCTGCAGAGCCTCCATATTCAGATCCTGGGAGGTCTGCTTCTTGTCATATGGCACCTGGGATCCGCAGTAGCTGCATCAGGGCCTTGATATGTGGCCGCACAAACACCAGGGGGCGTGTGGTTACCCTGCACCAGGCCCTGATAATCCATTTCCACACAGTGACTCCTAATATCAAGATCAGACATACTGGGTCCCGGTCACCGGACCGCCACCCCTGACACCTGCGTTCGGTTTTACCCAACTTAGAAAGGCCCTTTTCAGTGGAAACGTTGCCATGAACAAGGGGAACAGGCTATACAAGTAAATTAAGGATTCCATCAAAGTTTTATGTACTTTTGTGCTCCCGAAAGAGACCAACCATTAGCCCTGATTTCCTGGAACAGTTTTGGGCATAGGACCATGTGCACAGTCGGTCAATAATTGACTTCCAAGAAAATCCCAAACCCTTGAACCGATCTGGGTGATGTTTGGATATGTTGGTCACCCAGATCAAGGCTATCAGAGGATGTGACTATTGTGAGATTTTCATGTGTATTAGGGGTGTTTTGGAGGGTTTGTTAAATTGTATGTTTTTGTAACTGAGAGATAATTTAATTACATGTTTGTGTGCTCAGGTAATTATCTCTCAGGCACAGGGGAGAAGTTTGTGGAATGTTTGCTTGTTACTAGTTCCCTCTCAGCTCCATAGAGGAATGCCCCTGTAATATGATTTGGGAAACCCCTTGCCGTGTGTGGCTCCTAATAAATCAGATCGTTTTACCCCTTCATGAAGTCTAGGCTCATGTTTGGGGGATTGAGAGCTATACTCACAACCATAATCACTACTCTGCTTGGAACCAGGAGCTATAATCACTGCATCACTTGGGATTTGGGAGACTTACAGCGTATATACTCTGCCGGAGTATAGGGGATCCGTTACAATATGCATTAAGGGTAGCACATAACAGGGGTAGAGAGATCTGATAAGGTGAGATGGGGCAGAATCATTTTGGGCAAGAGGAAATGAGAAACAAAGCTACCTCCTATACAGTAGCCAGGGAGATGGAAAAAAAGTAGTTTAACAGAAGCAGTATGACCAAACTATAAAAGCAGCTCTCTCACTGTGAAGAAATCCCTCTTTTATGTGCATTATTTCTTCCCTATTCATTCGGTAGATGTAACTACCAAACAGAGACCACCCCCCTGGCTCGTTAAACTTCAAAGAGTGCCTCAATTGAACCCTCTATCTGTACTACCGAACGCCACGTGGCTGAGAAAACGGCAGCCATCTTTTTTCATGCGAACAAAGGCAGCGGGACCTGGTCGTCGAGTGTCTGGAACTAAAATCGGACACTCGACTTCCCGAACACCGGTCTCAACAAGCGAACGCTGGATCTTTATTTCCCGAACAGCTAGAAGAGCGCTGTTCGGTACTTTTGTGCATTTGAATGAGGGGAACAATCGCTGCTAAGAGCCAGGGGAATCCATTCGTGGAATTATTCGGTTTTTGACACTTAACGGAATAAACCGGCAAAACTACCCAAACTCATGGAACTATTTTGGGCAGCCACCTCGCAGTTAGCCGATCACAAAAGACTTCCATACTTTTTGAGAACCCCTGAATTGATCTGGGTGAAATTTGAATATGTTGGTCACCCAGATCGGGGCATATTGTTTGTGGGGATACCATATACCTAAAGGGGTGTTCTGAATATTGGGGAAAATTTTTAATTTTTCTGCCTGGAGATAATCAAGTTATTACTTTATCAGACTTGATTATTTCCAGGACTAGGGGAGGGAATTGTATGTTGGTGCTGGGAGTGTTTTACATTTTTCCTGTAAACGATTGGTTGTACTATGTCCCTCCCTGTGGGATGTCCCCTTGCATGGGGACTTGCATAAAAGCCAGTGTGTGGTCATTAAAAGCCAGTTCTGTTGTACCCTTCTTCTTGACTTCGGCTGATGTTTGGGGATTCGTATGCTTTATTAAGGGATTTATCTTATAAAGCTATTGTGGTCGTCTGGATTTCGTTTATTTAATCTACCGAACAGAGAGCTATAATCACTGAGGCTCTGGCAGTTCGGGGGGAAACTACCGAATGAGGATTGGATATCCTAGGTTTCCTTACACTCACCAAAATAGTTTTGAGCATTTTATAAAGATAAAGCTCATAGATGTGCAAGAGTACACAACTGACATTGGCTCCTGGTTCATGAAGCGTCAAAAGCTGAAGATCAAATATGGCTGCACGCACGGTGCAGCATCATGATAGCTATAATTCTCGTCTGCTGAACCCCAAGCAGCAATTGAGGACTTTGCAGAATATGCAACGCCCCTGGAAGGTGACTGAGCCACTTTAAATTATCTAAAGGCAAAATGGAGACTGTATTTAAAGACCTGTGTCCCTTGAAACTATGGTACAACAATTTTAATGCTGCTATGATTTGGGGACCTCAAGCAAATTAACATAGGGGCTGATGGAGCTGCAGCTCAAGGCCCATGCCTATGGAATAGGCCCATTGTTAAAAAATAAAGAAAAAAAATTGTTTTGTTTTTTGCTCTTGCTTAAGTATTGAAACTTAGAAGCATGTAGGGGAACAAAACTGGTGTGAACTGGGACATAGGAGTGCGCAGCCTATTTTATAAGGGTGTGCACCCTAAAGCACAAACACGCATGCCACGCGTGTGTGTGTGTGTGTGTGTGTGTGTGTATATATATAAATATATACACACACACACACACATATATATTGCTGTGTGTGTGTGAAGACGCTGTGTGTGTGTGTGTGCAGGTGCTGTGTGTGTGTGTAGGCACTGTGTGTGCAGGCGCTGTGTGTGTGTGTGTGTGTAAGGGTGCTGTATGTGTGTGTGTATGTGTGAGGGTGCTGTTAGTGTGTGTGTGGGTGGGTGGGTGCTGTGTGTGTAAGGGTGCTGTTAGTGTGTGTGTATGGGTCCTGTTAGTGTGAGGGTGCTGTTAGTGTGTGGGTGCTGTGTGTGTTAGGGTGATATGTGTGTGTGCTGTTTGTGTGTGTGTGGGGTGGGGGGGCCGTTTAGTTAATATCCCCCTCCCTTCTTACCTTTTGTAGGGAGGGGGGACCGTGCTGCTGCCATCCCTGGTGGTCCAGTGGTGAGTGAACTCTAGCCCCGCAGCCTGCGGGGCTAGAGTTCACTCTCGCGAGATCTGAGCATTGCCGCGGTAACGCTCCGACCTCGCGAGAGGAACCCGGCGGAGCTGCTGGCAAGAGCTCCCCGGGTCCTCTCCTGCCTCCCTCCCTGCCTGTGGGTCGGTGAGGGAGATCTTTGATCTCCCTGCCGGCCCATGAAGGCTTAGAGCAGAGCCGGCACTCGGATAGCGCTGGCTCTGCATGAGCCGACTGGGGAGATCCTGAGATCTCCCCTGCCGGTCTCAATCCATAGGCGTGCCACGGGGATTAGGGTGTGCCCAGGGGCCTCTCTACATTAATACCACCACTGCTTTCAGTTCTGACAATTTGGATTAAAATAAAAATTCACTTTGAATTCCCACTTTACTAAATAACCCTGTTAGTATTTCCATTTTGCCATCCGGGGTGAATTTAACGGAGTCTTTTTGTATTTCACATTTGTCTAAATCTAGTTAAATATATTAACTGGATAGTGTACATCTATGTATATACATTGACTTGATGCTGCTGCTCCTGGCTGTAAATACCTTCATATTACTGTTCTGTCTCCATCTCTGTTCTTCATGCCTTATCTCACACTCATACTCACTCATGGGAACAGCGATTGAGATGCTCTGCATTTTTTTTTTCTCACCACTTCCCACCCCCAGGTTCCCCCTAAATATATAGCATGCTCCTCCAGATGTTTGAGATTCTCACTCACTTACATCTTCATTCCCTTTACATTTTACCAATAGCTGCTTCTCTCTGGTACCTCTTTTAGCCATCACCTCCAAATTTCCCCTGCTTCCTTTTGTTTCAAATCCTCACGGTATCCTTTAGATTGTAAGCTCACGGGTTATCTTGCTAAGCATTTTGTATAAAAGAGCTTCAATGGCTAGATATCAGCTTACGGGCAGGGCTCTCTCGACCTCTTGTATTTGTCTGTGTATATTGTACGTTCTCCACTAATTGTACAGCGCTGCGGAATCTGTTGACGCTTTATAAATACCAGTAATAAATAAATAAAAATGTATGACTTTTGTTCATTTACTCCCAATCCAGCCATGGTCCAAGTCTGTTTATATGTAATGAATGTATATTAGTTAATTTTTCTAATTACATTATATGAATGGTCAGAGATCGGTATACAATTCGGTGAGGTTTTAGTACAAGCACAGATCTATTTGAGCCACTAGCCTTACCCCCCAAAAAAACAAAGTATCTGTTATACCATGTCTCCATATAGTGTATACATTATCTACTTAAAGGGCGATCCTTCAATTGAATATCCAGGAATTTCTCATATTTCAAAACCGAAGTTCAAAGTCTGTTTCATGAATTGAACATTCTACTTTTCCTGTAGACTCCTTACACTGTGCTACACTTTTCCGGCCATCATTTCCACTATGTCAAATCTCAAATATTTCACTTTAAGTGACAGAGATTATGTTAATCTTTTATATAGGTAACAATTAACTTTTAACATTCTCAGAAAAAAAACATCTATTGAAAAGCAGAGGGATAATCCCACCCACCTAATAACTAGAGTTAAATACACAGGGAGATTTAAAGGTTCTATTTACTGTGTAATTGTAATCCACGCGTAGAATGTCTTTAACCCAGTAATGACTCACATTACACCTGCAAACCTATTGTACAAAGCCTCACCTATCAATAGCATGAAACAGCCGCGTCATCCATAAAATGACATTCACAAATATTATATGATTATACTGGCAAAAGGTTAATATTACACTCGGATTTATTAAACTATGTGAAATCCAAGCTTTCTAACACAGGATGGCAATTTTCAGGATTTAACATGATGCTGGTGAAATATTCAAGACTCCTGGCCAAACACATCAACCATATTATTCTTTATTCTCCAATTTATAGTGAATTAAAATCCAATTGCCAACATTTTTTCTGGGGGTTTAGTGGAAACATTTCAGAATATGTAAAGTCTGAGTGTATTGTCATGAGACATTGTAGTTGCCGGCTGTTGCCCTCCTTCGTAATTCGAAGGAAACATTTCTCAATGACATGTTTTTGGCACTGTGTATCCTTAACAGGACAATATTCTTAGAACAAAACAAAATTGATAAACAACCAATTCCAGCTTTTACTCTGGCACGTTACAATGCATTCAGTGTTACCACTCAAAATGTGATATTTCAAATTAGGAAGCTGAGATCGTATTTAATTCACAAACTTTATCCTCTCACTGTCTTTATAAATTTGTCCTAATTATATTTATATAAAGGGTCAATTAAACCTGGTTTTATATGCTTTATTAAAATTATCCGCATATTCTTAAATAGTTTCCTAGTCTTAATTTAGAACACTAATTACTCAATATAGTGCACAAGGGTATGTTAATTAGTTAACGGGATTATTGTAATTACATAACCCCCCCCCTTTACAGTGCCCGCTTTACCTCCACTCATTTCCCCTTTCTGCTCAGTTTTCTAATTTCTTTAATTAATTTCATTATTATAGCCATTATCCAGTTCATGGTTCGTGTCCTTTTCTGTTTTAAATAATTAAAAAACTGTGGTTTAATGCAAAAGTTAATTAAAATGTCATTTGAAAAAAAAAAAACAATATTATCACATACATATAGGGAGCAAATTCACAGTTGGATCTTTTTTGTTTTAAATATTCCCTAGGTCTCTGTATAAACCAGTATACACCCGCCGTCTTCATCTCCTCGTGATATTAAACTAGTCGAAAAGGACAGGCTTTGTTTGCTAAACTTCAGCTTTAGAAATATGAGGAAGTAGACATTAAATTACTTGCTCATTTTTATAAGAAAGAAAATAAATTATTGGCATTACTTCCATTTTACATTTTGAATGCTATTTGTTTAAATATTATGCAACAAAGATGTGAAAGCTCTCTGCCTGAACTTATATACAAAAGGTATTTTTTTGTTATAAAAAAAAAAGAAGAAATATGTCACATTAAAGGACCACTATAGGTACCTAGGGCCTCCAACAGAAATTGTGGGGCCCCTAACAGCTCAAGGTCTGGGCCCCCGGGTGCCCTCCTCAAAGCCCTGCCTCCAAATCCCGCCCACAGGAATACACAGACACAAAAGGACACAGACACACACAAAGAAAGATACAGACATACTAACAGACACAAATACTGAAACAGACATACACAAATAGAGACACATACACATGCATTAGGAGATACAGATACACACACATACTGACATACAGACACACATGCACACACTGACGTACATACATACTGACACATACATACAGACATACATACATACAAACTGACATACAGACATACACATAAATACATACTGACATACATACATACAGACATACACACAGATATATGCATACACAGATACATACAGACATAATGACATACACACACACACACACACACACACACACACAGAGGCATACATGCATACTGACATACACACTGATATACACACACATACATACATAGACATACTGACATACACAGACATACATGCATACTGACATGCATAAACACATACATACTGACACACACACAGATATATATACATACTGACATACACATACTGACATACACACACAGACACACACATACATACTGACATACACAGACATACATGAATACTGACATACATACACACATACATACTAATAGATATATACATACACACATACATACTGACATACACACACACATACATACAGACATACTCACATACTGACACACACATACAGACATACAGACATACTGACA